ATCTGCAGCTTTTCCAGAGTCATTTCTTATGATTACATTTTTCCACAGGCCAACAATAGCTTCAACAAAACTATTTCCCTCAAAGAGAAACCAAACATGCCCTATTGTCGTGAGAAACAAAGTGCAGAAGGAAACATCCATTAAACTCAGTGTGCTGCTCTGTGATGCTAGCTCAGATACTTGGCATCTCATCTTGGGTGCAAGGTCATCAATGTTTGGGCTCAGGCTCTGAGCTGAGGAGACCCTCAGGATGGAGTGAAGGTGTGCGTGCAATATACCGGCGGGCCAGATCTAATAGGAATTAAAAATTATCATGCGGGCCGAAATTAAATCCACCAAGGGCCTGATTTGGCCCCCGGGCCTTGAGTTTGACACGTGTGATGTAGAGGAAGAGGTTTCAGAATGTGAAGATCACATTTCTGAGAATTCTGAGTCTGACAGTGACTTTGAAGAAGAGGATGAGATTGAAAAAGAGGATGAGATTGAGCATCAGTTAGTTACAGAAAAAAGCCGAACCACAGGACCAGCCGGTCAGCGGGCAAAACAACAAGTAGCACTTTAATTCATTAATGTGATCTAACAAATGTAAAAGGGCAAACATGAACCATATGCTGTTTATATTGCTTGTAATTGAGATGAAGGAAACATCTGTTGAGTATTTTAACATAAAATAGTTTGATGTGTTGAATTGAAGCCCAAAAAGGCAACAGGTCCACGAGACCCACGAACACTGGCTGAGTAACACAAAGGTGAACACCACACAAGGGTTAAGTACATTTAGACGGGGTAACAAGTCAATATCTCCGTATGTAATTAGCTGTAGAAGTATAGAAATTACAGAAATATATGTACAATACAATGTTGACTTGAGTCAGTTTACTTAGTGATGTTCCACCTCTGGAAATGAGTACATTTTAATGGATGATTCAAAAGTGTTCTCTTCTGAAGCAAGTTGTATAATCAACATCTCATCCAAAGTGCAAATGTGATGTTTTTCAAGCCGAGCTGCTTTTGTCTTTGACGCACACACACAAGCTTTAATGTCGCACAGATTTAATGATGTCGAATCAAATGAAGCGTGTCAGAAGGCCATGGGACCAAAGAGAAAGGAATAATGCAATTTCACTTTGCTTTTCAACTTGACCGAGGAAAGTCTCGCAGCGTGAGTGACTGAACTCGAAAGGCAGACCAAATAACACGGACGGACCTTTCAAAGGCACGACGTGTAATGGAATTATTGGTAATAGAAGATATCATTAAAGCTATAGCCTCAGGCAGAGCCTTTTACTCTGACCTTTTAATTAACAGTTCGCCATGGCAGCGAGTGTTTATCAGTGTGTTACCCCCCCTGTGAATACTGAGTCAAAGTGACGGATAGAAACAGGACGTATGTGCCCGCTCGCCCTTTTCATTTCTCGCCTTTGAGCCGCTCAACGACAAACCTTGAAAGGTTTCCTGGGAAACACGTGAGCAAGAAGCGCAGCGTGACAACACAGCTCTCAGTCCAACTTATAATAATAATAAAAAAGAGCTTCTTTCTGGCTTCCTTGAGATTATTCGTAGGTCTTAAAATGGCGAATTTGACTAAAAATCAACATGTATTTCTGACCAATTCAAATAAATCTGAAGCAGGACTCTTTAGTATTTGGTCATCACATTTTTCAGAAAGAAAAAGGTTATTACAGAACAACAGAAATGTTTAGGCGTTATTTACAACTATTTCTTTCAGAGGCTAAAAGATGAAATGAAGCTCAGCGCGAGTTCAACCGGGAAGACTGTCATTCACATATTAATTCACATTCACATAAACCTCTCACTTTCGTCTCTATTCCCAAAAGCCAATCATAGAACTGTCAAACCTTTGGATGAACGGGGTCTAATCAGCAAACCACATTCATCTGTGTGTTTCCTGGCAATAAATATATATTGTTACATCAAAACATGTCTCTCCTGATTGAAATGTAGTCACGAAAAATAATTCAAACCAACAGGGAGCTTACATATTGAGATTGTACATAAACAAACAAAGCCCTTATTCCAATAGTAAACTGTCTTAAAAGTAGTTATGAGAAAGGCGGTAAATATCGTGATTTCCTGAAGATTCTTTTCAGCAATTTAGCTAGCTTCAAGATGATATGACTTACAGCTGTACACACACATGTTTATGGCTAACTAGCATGTCAATTGTTAGCTCAGCAGCTACAGTATATTGTCAAATAGCCACGCAAGTATTAGGTCGCATTCACACCAGCCTTGTATAGTCCGGTTGAATCGAACTCTGGTGCGTTTAGCCGCTTGGTGCGGTTCGTTTGGGTCGGTGTGAACGCAGTCTGAGACCTCTGAAGTGAACCAAACAACCGGACTCTGGTCCTCCTAAAGAGGTGGTCTCAGAGCGCTTGCTAGTGAACTCTGGAGCGGTTCATTGCTGGTGTGAACGCATTCCGCTTCAAAACACAGGAAGCGTAGTATTTACGTGGCATAAGAACGCGGATATCTTCAAAATCTTTAGTGAAAGAGTGAAGCAGAATGAAGAGTTGAACAGTGTTGTGTAAAGCAAAAACAACTATCAAACTAAAAACTATACATAAAAGTCAGAGCCACCTGCAGTCGGTGAAACCCCCTCCTGACTGCAGAACGTCTCATTATATGTGTTATAATGTTTTTTAACGGACGTTGTCTGATTATATAAATCATATGCGCGGGCCGCTAGTGTCTGTTGATCTCCAGATTAACAGCAGCATGAGAATAACCTGCCGAAAGTGCCGATGCTCCATGGCGGAGGCTCCGGTAGAAATTGCCGGAAATTACGTTTTTACCCCCTTAATGTCTGACCAATGGTTGAACAGCATTTCCGAGCACATGACTTGTGTTTAAAGTTTATAGTCAGTTTGAGTTTTGCCCGTGTGAACGCAAACCGAACCTTCTGAAAAATGAAACCATGTAACAAACTGTGGTCTGGTGCGCAGCAGAGAGCGGACTATTAGGTGTGAATGCGACCTTAGCTTAGTCATCAAACATTGGCTCTCTTGGCCGTAAACTTTAAGAAGGACCACAAGTCAGAAATGTAATTGGACCTTCAAGGTTAAATATCAATAAGGTTTGTTGAAGGATCCTTAAGTTCCTCGGTCCATTTCTTTGGACTATAACTTCACATGCCTTTGAAAACATCCACACGACAGGGAATACGAGTCAGAATACAAGCTGCAGTTTGAAAGGTTTTTTTTTTTCCCGACTCTTGACTTGTTGTTAGAAAGGAACGGACACTTTGGGCTCAAGCTTTGGCCCGGACCCAGTGGCCCGCATGTGGAACTGGTTGCAGTGTTATAATTCCTCAGAATAAGCCAGAGGTAAGCATGGGCTGCCAACATTTCACAAAACGAGCACCATGTCTAAAAAATGCAAATGAGGAGAGAGGATCATCCACGTTCACAGAAGAAGTGTCTCTTCATATAAGCCCACATTGTACGTGATTTGTAAGCGCTATCTTTGGAGTTTTAAATATAAATTGGTTAAAAGAAAAGTAAAAATCAGCTACTCCTTTTCAAATTCAAGATTCAAAGGTGTTATTGTCATATGCACATAAGCTACAGCAGGGCTATTCAATTGGCGGCCCGCGGGCCAAATCCGGCCCCGGGGTGATATTTACTGGCCCTTTGAGTATAATGTTAAAAAGTCAAATCTACTTTCTTTTTTTTGTTTTTCTTTAAAGGTGACCTATCATGCAAAATGCACTTCTGTACGTCTTTAATACATGAATTTCCAGGGAACTCACCAAGTGTCAGAAAACACAACCCTCTCTATTTTCCTCCATACCCAAATCTCTTAAAAAGGGGCTGCAACGGATCTGATACAGACTGATCCAGATTTGAACACTTCTATGACGTCACAGAAGTGGCGCTACGGCTATTGGGCCAACTCCACCAATCAGGAGGAGACAGCCACGGACATTGCCGTTGGAAAGCGCTGGAGACGCTGTAGTACATATGCCAGGCCTGTAGATGGTGCTGTTCTCACAGAATCAGCCCATGATGCAAAGACAGTGTTAAATTGAGCGAAATGAGGAATGGCTAAAATGCATGATCTGTTTGGTATTTTGAAAAATAAAAAGTATAAATATGCCTTATATAGGTATGGTCCTACACTATATTATTCAAATATAGCATGGTAGGTCCACTTTAAGATAAATATTTTTTTGTTTTGGGCCAGAGTGCCTTTATTCCAGAGAGGGTGTTACATTGAGAGATAGAGGGGAAGACATTGCCAGAAAACTTCGGCGGGCTCCAGTTTCGAACCCACCTACTAGCTACTGTAGTGACAACTCCTGTCATTGATTGCGTCTCTGCGTGAATGATTAGATAATTTCACCTAAATGAAATCAAATGAAATGATGTTGATGGTTAAATTAGCTTCGCATGTAGGCCTGCTGAGCTCTGAACTCGCCATTTAGATCTAGAAAGGCCTTGAGGCTATGTTGTTTGATTTAATTAAACACAATATATGCACTCCACTATGCTGTTGTAGTATTTACTGTATCTGAAGCTCTTAATATGATTGCTCATATTTCAAGCCATCTTATTCCCGGCCCCTTGCTTTGGATCATTTTCATCAACCGGCCCCATTCCAAACTAATTGAATAGCCCTGAGCTACAGTGTAGAAATGGCAATGAAATTCCAACGATGCAACATATATACTAAAAACGATGCAACATATACTAAAAGACAAAAATATAAGTAAAAAATAGTGCGAGAAGTCTATATACAGTAAATAGAATATGATATGTACAAGAACAGAATTTA